TATTATTACCCTCAAGTATTTTATGACAGTATTTAATGAAGACATCCTACCAGTTCTTTCATAAAGAATTATCACAATCAACGCAATATATGGATGCATGTAGTGTAATTAGTAAATTGTGGTTTAATATGAGTACTGTATGTCAATTAACTCGAGTTTGTATGGGATGGGAAATTTTGTTAAGAATGAATGGGATGTTTATAATAAACGTCTTTTGTAAAAGAGAAGTTTTTGATAATATTTTGGAACACAGAGTTTGTCTTGGATGCATCAAGTCTTTGCACTCAAAAGTAGTTACAACTACAGTCGTTGTTGATTAATCCATAATCAATGGCAGTTTCGGTGTAGCATTATTTTATTTTTACTTGATGTTTTTCTTTCCAAGATTTTATTCATACAGTCCAACCGAACGTCGGCAACAGATATTTGAAAAAAAAAGTTTTTTTTAATACTATTTTGCTTTTTTTGTTACACTGGTGGTTCATTTCCTTTATGTATAATTTTTGATAGACCAATTTTGCGTCGAAGCATCGAATTAAGATCAAAATAGTACTGAAGATTCAAGTAGTGTTAATGCTTTGATTTTGAAGTAATTATACACAACCATGGGTATGCTTGCAGATAAATATATAGTAAATTCAGCTTCCTGAAGCCCTCAAAATATTATCTTTTATTGTTTTCTGGTGTCCTATAATCTCGAACTATAGGATATTTTTTTATGGCATGAACTTTTTAGGTTAATAAGTTTGCATTGCGAGATTCACGTATAAAATTTTATTTTTTGGACTCCAAATGGCTGTGCATAATCATGGGTACGCTTGCAAATAAACGTATAGCAAATCGAGCTTCCAAGAGCATCTAAAAATATTATCCTTGATCGTTCTTTGGGGTCGCGTAATCTTATAATTGTGAGATCAATTTGCTTAAGATTTTATTGCAAAACATTGAAGTGGATACGCTTACATATAAATGCATAGCAAATCTAACCGTCAAAAGTACCTAAATGTAATCTCGGACTATCTTACATGGTACAGATAAAAATGACGCAGAAATCGGTTCTGGCTAGTACAAATGATCCGAGGTTCCTTATTTTCTTCATGAATGGATCTGTAATTTGCCTAAGTATAATTTTTGTCAGGTATGATCCTTTTGCAATGGAAGTATTGAAATAAAATGAACTAAGTCAATTTTGGTGGTGAGGATTAAATTGGTTTTCTTGCTTTGGTCTTCATTTGGCTATGCACATTTTCATCAAATCTCATCCTTAACACCATTATCTGGTGTCGTGTCATCTCGGACTATCCCATTCACAGATGCAAATGACGTCGAACTGTTTATATATGGATTTGCATTTCTTTTATCCACATTTTTTCCAGTCAAGCATCGAAACTGTGAATTGGCATCAATTAGATCAAGTATTGGTGGGGGAGATTTTAGTGGATTTATGGACGGCCATGAAGGCGCTTACATATAAATGCATAGTAAATCACTTGGCACAAATATTTTCTACCTCTGGTGTCATCTAATCTCGGACTACGTCATCCACAGATGCAGATGGCGTCGAACTTTTTGTATATGGATTTGCATTTGAGCACAATTTTTTCCAGTCATGAATCTTTTGCATTGAATCGTCATCAATTAGGTCAACTTTTGGTGGTGGAGATTCTAGTGGATTCATGGACGACCATAAGGGCGTTTGCATATAAGTTCATAGTAAATCACTCGAAACAATTATCCTTTACCTCTGGTGTCATGGAATCTCGGACTATCGAATCCACAGATGCAAATGACGTCGAATCGGTTCTGGCTAGTACAATGCAGACCGGAGATCCATTGTTGTATGACCGTTCCCGCTTCTTTGTCACAGATGTTATTGTGCGCAATCCCTGCTTTTCATTTTTTGTTCGCGATCAGTAATGCGCGCGATTTTCAAACGAGCCAAATTTACATAACCGACATACGATATGCGAACCGGTATTGTGTCTGCTCTCATCAAAACACGGATGGAAATTTGCAATGGAAAAATAGTCTTGTTTGATAATTTTAAGTTTTATTTTAGATAACACTGTTCAAACGTTATGATATAAAAGAACACTACTTTGGTTTTGCTCATAAATATTTATTTCACGTACTGACCATGGTGAAAATGTGGTGCAGCAGCCATTGGGTTCGAAACTCACCTTTGTCAGCTACATAGCATGCAGTCGTGATAGAATTTGTCTTGAGATTATAGCCTCTAGGCTAGGAGCATTGCTACCATATATATTATCACTCCATTATTAGTAAGGAAGAAGGCCATCAACTATTGTTTTCTAGAAGTTGTTCTTTCTCTTTTATGGTACTTAAGAACAAAAATCTGGTAATCATTTGTGTGAAAGTGTAATAAGACAAATAGAAATTTATATCATTCTAAGTCATTCAATAAATGCTGCTAATGAATAATTTTCATGAATAACTCATCAAAACTAATTCAGATTTTAATGATTGAACCGTTATTCATTAAAGCAATCGTTTTCTACTAATATGAAATTTGCCTTTCAACTAAATTTCCTTTATGAGTTCCTTTGACTGCAAGATATAAAGAGAAAATAAATGACATTATAATATTTTATGTATTCCTATGTGAGCCATTTGCAGTATTCGATATAATACTCATAAATCAGTATTTAAATCTGAGACGCCTGCTCCATGTCATAAATTATGAACAGTTATTTTCCTCAAATCCTACACTGTAATTATTCGATGTTTATGAATATGATATAAATAAAATGTATACTTAATTTCATTTTTGTTTAATATTTTTATGGAAAGCAGAAATTCGAAAACAATCTGCTAGAATAATTAATTTGCGTTTAGTATTTTTTAATAACAAGCAAGATTCTTCTACATTATCCTTTCCGTTTTTGCATTAAATTATTTCTTTGACTAATTGACCAGTACTTTCCTAAGGATCAAATGCCTTAATTTTTCCGCTGCAAATTATGACTTCAATCTCTCCTCCATTTGGCACAGTAATATTATTTTATGATATTTTGATCATTATTCTGTTTCATTTTCATTTTAATTGACATCAACGAATACAAATTGCGGCAAATAGTTATGAGTTGGTACTTCAGCTTTTCTTACAAATGGGTTATTAGCATTACTAAAAGGTAAATATAAGAGACCCCCCAGCAAGTTGGAATATTCTTGCGTCTATTACCATATGTATACGAGTCTCATATGCACATAAACTTTCTATATGTATTCGAATAAAATGCACATATGAATATATGAAATTTTATGTGTGGATATGCAATCAATATTATACGAACTTCAACGCTGCAAAGTCATAAAAAAGTGGATTGTCCTGGCAAATTAGTAGCTTATGGTAATATTTATTTATTTATTTTTAAATCAAAAGATTTTACAAAGACGTAGATAAACGTGATCATTAGTTATTGGATTTGAATTAGAGTAACAACTTCACAATATTTATCACGATTCATGGAAACTCAGGAAATTTCGGTATTTTTTCTTTCACAACCGGTAATACCAGTAAAATACCGGTATTTTATTATCTTAAACAAATAATTGATAGTTACTTGTACAAATATAAAAAAATATATATACACCTACAACTATACACAAGTAAACAATTAAAATATAAAATTTTTTGATGATGAAATTAACATCATTATTTCAGATTCTATTTGTATCACTTAAAGATATATCTGTTTATGCGATTATGGAAGTTAAAGATAAATTTGTTCCAAAAAATTTAAACTCGAGTGTAATATGTATCAAGTAGCGCTTATGTAAAAATACCGAAAATACCGGTAATTTTAAGGTAAATACCGGTATCATGCCGCCGAAAATTCAAACTGTACACCGGTATTTTCGGTATTCTGGTATACAGGTACACCAGTATTTCCGGTGTTCCGATATACAAGTATTTCCGGTGTTCCGGTATACAAGTATTTTCGGTGTGCCGGTTTTTCCGGTATTTCCGGTATTCCGGTATTGCATTACCTTCAAAATTTACTTGACAAAGTATGAACGTATTTTTTTTATTAAAACTCGTTTGTTTTAAGTAAAGTATCTTCCAGCCCTATTCCCATTTCTTACGATCCAAAACATAATTTTTTCCCCAATCCATCGGATCTTTGTCTCGAAGTTGCTTTGATGAGAAGAAGTCCACCATGTCGACTTGATAAACGACTCATAAGATGATATAAAGGCGACTTGCACTTTTTCATCCAACATTTACAACAGTAGGTACAGCATTCATTGTACATGAGAACATCGAATGGAACATATACAAGGAATGAATTCAATGCACTGACAATAGATTAATGAGATTCAGACTTCAGAATGTAACGAAAAGAATTACTTGTGTCGATAACCTTAGGATTTGTCCTATACCTAGTATTTTATGGATAACACGTCGCCAAAATGAGTGCAAGTTTTGTAGATAGATAGATAGATACTTTATTCAAATTCAATATTTACAATTTAAGTCAAGTATATAAGTGCACGATTATATTTTGGTGACGAAGATTTTGTTAAATTACTTCTGTTATAAAATTTATATATTTTTTTTATATAGCCGACAGAGTACATCCAGAAGAACTTACTCAATAGTAAAATAGAAAATCAGAGAAATACTTAATATGTTAATGTTGATTAATGGACACATCGAAGAGTAACTACAATAGCTAATCATATGAATGCTCTAGAAATTTCAACTTTAAATCGTTATATACGAATATAAATCTTCCAATAATATCGACTTGATTTCTAGTATTTGTTAGTGAGACATTCTTGAGGTGCGACTGCGTGGGAATTCAAGTTATATTCTTATTATTTTCTTGTTTTTAGTTTTATTTGCTATCAGGCATTTTATACTCAACGTATAATCTTTTGATTCTCATTTGCTAGTTGAAAAGAAATTGAAATACTTGTAGGAATAAAAAAAATAAAAAAACAAATCATTGCTTACAAAATGCAATGAAATTATGATGACTGTGTTTGCAGGTCAGTAACTTACAAAGATTTAAAAGTACATAAACCAAAAACTTAAAACCAATAAGCCATTGATAGAAAAATATTTTAATTACTATCTATCACAGTCCACAAAGCTTTGTCTTTGTCCATTTATTTGTTGGCCATGATGTGTGGCTCACCTAATTATTAATCATTGTTTAATCCAATTGTACTGAATTTAATCAAAATTTATGGTGACGTTTGAGCAAAGCAGTGTACATCCATGGCCTGAAGTCATCAATTTCAAAAAGTTTGCTCAACTTGTATAATTAATTAGTGGAAGAGAAACTTTATAACAGAAATAACTAGTTTTGTTGCTGGGATTATGTAACGAGTGTTTGACCGCTGAACTGCGCTTCGTCGGACAACTAATTTCTGGTACTCTAAATAGGAATAATTTTAACTTTCTAGAATAGAATTCCTAAACCTTCAAGTTAATATCACAAATTTTGAGTGATAATTTTCTTTTATATAAGCCGATACATCTTTTTACAAGATGTCATAATAATTTCCTACTGTTCTCAGTACCATATGCATAAGATTCAAGTTCATAGATACATCTTTCATCCATAATAATAATATCCTTTCCTACTTATCAATTTTATTACAACGTCCATTACTTTTATAAGCATTTAAATCTATTAAATCGTATCTCGTGTTGTTTTAGTATCAACTTATTTTATCTTTAAACTTGCCTTAATTCTTTATATCAGATCGCTGCAATAAAAATCTTCTTCGAAGATTCAATGAAGTATCTCGTAATGAATTTTCATCAAATCTGAAGATATAAAATAATTTATAGCGCTATAAAGCATATGCATATAGTAACTTAGATTCTTAATTAAATTGCTAGTTGGTAGTAAAAATTAAGATCAGCACTATCTTTATTATTTTGCATTGGGTAAACAAGATTATAAAAGGAGAATGTATACACTGGAATTTTTTATGTACTTTTATTACTGTTTGTTTTATATGTCATTTTCCTGATCATGTAGTATAAATTACAAATCTGGTTTCATCTTTCTCTATATAAGTATTACTAGCTTTCTTGAATGACATGTTACAGATTTTGACATAAATCCTTTCTGAAACGTCGTGATGAAACCATAACACTGATTAAAAACAACGGGTTATAATATTTACATATTTATGCATCGTTGAGTAATATAATAAAAATAAATGTAAAAGCAATGTTTTTGTATTTTATGTCAAATGAAAAAAAATTAAATACTTTTCGTTCACAATAAGAAAAATTGTCTTCTATTAGATTGAGATCATATTAGATTAAGACATTTTTGTTAATTGCTTGTATAAACTAATGATCGTAATTAAATTATTTATTATTTCTTTTAAACCATTTTATTTTTCAAATAAAATAATAATCATAATAAAAGAGTTTATCTTCTTACATTCTCCATAAAACATTTTCACGCCTGTTTCCGGGTAGTAATTTTAATTACAGCTTTCGTTTTTGCATCGTTTCTGCGCATCCTTCCTGAAAAATAAAAGTATATAACCGCTTAGGTCTTGTACTCATGTTCCATCAGAATACAGTTTTTTTTATTTTTATTTTTGAGCTTTTAAACTAAAAGGTAATATGACTTTGAAGAGAAAATACTCGACATCTTTTAAAATTAGTTCATTTATATAATGAATTTTAAAAGCAGTCTCATGTAATGAATCATCAGAAAACGAGATCATCATGTGAATTTTCTATGCATTTAGGTCTTGTGTGCCCGTATTTCTATCCAAAAATGCATTTCATAATTGCCGGTTTATAAAAAAATCAATCAGTTCAAATTCAATTAGAAAAAAAATCAAAGGTATTATTCATAATCCAAAGGTGTATTATTCATAATTAAAATGATTTGTAGTAAAACTATAAATTAATTAACAATATTACTATTGAATAATGTCATAGCTATTGAAGCATACTAGAAAATGTTATATACTTTACAGTTGTTAGCATTTCAATTAATATATATATATATATATATATATATATATATATATATATATATATATATTAAGTTATGTTGATGGATAAAATTACTTTTATTTGTGATCAAATAACGAATATTGATTTATCAATGCATATTGTACTCATCATATAATCATATCGCTCAGTTTATTTTTAAATTTACAAGTTGCCACAATGTCTCTGGCGATCATGATTACCCAGCCTTAGCCAGAGTGTCATTAAACCTTTCTAATATAACCACGACATTGCAATATGCGGAAAACTTGTCTCTTAAGCTTGGGCAATGACTTTAGGAGGACTTAAGAACTATTTTCTTTCAAAAAAGGAGTCGACAGTCTTGCTAGCGTATCTCTCCACTTCTAAATATATTTATGGGTTGATACCAAGACTTGAAAAACGTTTAACTACTTTACAAGTGCACTGAACTCGTTAAAGCACGCGTCTTGAGACTTTTTTTTAGTATTTTTGTCATAATGTTCGGAAACTAAATAATAAATGAATTAATGAACGTGTCGGTACTGATCTTGTAAAAGTTGTAAAAGAAGTTTATTACTTGGATTTTAGCTTCGATGGGAGCATAATAGTGAGCGTCTCTATTTTAATAACATTTGGGTGTAATACTTTAAATAAAACTATGTGCTCGTGCATCTATTGGTTTTTATACTGCTACGTTAATTAATAATAATAGCAGTGTTAGAAAAATTCTTATTACGAAAAAATGTGGTAAATGTTATAAAATTAATTTTTATTGGAATACAGTTAAGTTTGCTTTTTGAACAATTTACTGAAGGAATTATATAACCCAAATTCAATAAGAAAATTCGGTCAGCCTAAGAATTTGTAAACTATTCTTTAGGAATAAAGGTTAATATTAAAACAAGAACTATCTTTCGTACACATTCAATTCGACCTCTCTATCATTCTCTGTCAGGGTTGATGTTTGGTTAAATGAGTTTTTTAGTTTACCTTGAATACTTTGGAAAGGAATTCCGATAATTTAAATAGAAATTGTTTTCTCTCTCTACGGGTTATCGAGTTTTTTCAATCATCCTTTTGTAACAACCTCTACCTATGGGATAGAGCCAACGAAAAAAATAAGGATTACTTTTTATTATAGGCTTTCCTGAATTTTCCACAATTTATTGATGAAAAAAGCTGTATTTGATTAAAGTTTTATTATAAATTTTATATTAGTTAACTCATTAACCTCGACATTCGATTGATGGCAACCTGTGTGTAGGAGTGGACTTTTGTTTCAAGATTCATCACTCTCACAAGGACAACCTCAGGTTTAAATTTATGGGATTTTGATGAAACTATGCATGCAGAGTTCATAGTAATACCCAACAGTATAAACTATTATAGGCCTATGAGCAATGATTTAATTATAAAAATTAGTCAAAGTTTTAATTTGTGAGTCTCAAACCATTGAGATTTATAATTTGTAATCGAAATTTTTACTTCTAATAATTAGAATGTTCTCTAATAAATACTTGGGCGACTTGCTGCATCGTATAGCAGTGTCTAATAACATACCAATTATGTTGTATTTTAAAGAAATCGATCTCGTACAAGTATAACGATTTAATAAATATTTATTCACTGTATTCGTAAATGTTTAGAAATGACTGGATTAAATTTGACAGACGAAGATCATGTGCTTGACCTCAGCGCTATGTGTCTAGCTAATTTCAAGTGCATCTCCGAGTCTAGCTAAAAATAATCCAAGGAAATTCATTTAGGAGACTGCAAAAAGTAAACAGAGAACCAGTTGACAGATTAATTATTGGAGAATTATGTGAGAACAAAATTTAATAGATTATTCAATTATCGAGTCGAATATATACAATGAATTTTATCAGGGACTAGGGATATCAACCAGTTAACTGTGATTGTCAAATATACTAAAAATCATTTTTTTCGCATATTTCAAACTGTTCAAGACTATGTGTACAAGGGGATTTCACAAAATTTGTATAATTTTAGCTGTTTGACTACTCTCTTTTTTGATACGATTCCCACGATTTCTCTACATCTACTGGGCCGATTTACTTAAAATTTGTACAGTGCCGAAACCTGCTAGACCTGCTTTCATGAAAATTTAATCAGTTCTCAAATCTCATCTCAGCATCTCAAATTTAATCGGATGCTCGGTTCTCTTAAAAACTGAGTTACCGTTTTTGGCACTTCTTGTCCCTTCTTGCCGTTCCGAAGGGCTAGACCTGCCTTCGCCAAAAATTAATCAGCACGTCTCCTTATCAATACGAATCGAATGTTTTTACACGCACATCACACACACACACACACACACACGCAAACACACACACATACATCCATTTTTTCTAAGGTATGCCAAAATGTTCAGAAGGTTTTGAAACGTAAAGATATATACAAAATTTTCATTTTCGATTTTTTTGTGATTACTATAACTTGCTCTACGGGAAGTTAAAAAGTGAATTGATCATAGGCAATATGTGAAGCAAAGGATAAAATGTCGTAGCCTCTCGGACTTTTATATTATTTAAGTCATCAATTATCTTGGTTTTACTTTCGTCTCGTTTAATAGCGGCTCGGCTTTTAATCTATATTTACATCTGTGGTTATTCAGTAGCGTTTTATTCAATGACTGTCTCTCTATGTTCACACAGAATTATATACAGAATATTGCTCGGAAGATTCTGAACCGATGGAATAACGAATAATGTTTTTACGAAAAAGTTTAATTAAATTTAAAAATAACACTTTGCATTAAATTTTGTTTAATTTTAATTTATATCAGATGTATCACTTTTAACTTCAACAAGTTGCGTAACTAGTTGAAACGTATAGGTATAACTAAATGGATGAGTGGATGAACAATGGTGATACATCTTATTTAAACTAAAAATTTGATTTATAGTAATTAAAATTTTGTTGTAAATACACTTGTTGTGTCGCCCTCATTGGGCATGTTGGTAAGTTTTTGGCAAAGATAAGTGGCCATTTTCATTTCAACTTTCTATGATGGATTTTTGTTAGTATTCTTTTTTAATTTTAAACTCATGATTTAAAATTATAATCGTGATATCCATGTCTTAAGCTATTTCGAAACCGATTTTATCGTAGAATAATTCGTGAAACAGCGTTTACATGTTATGTGCAATAAGTTGCAATAAGAATGTCGTAAGTAGTTAAGAAAACGTTGTTTTGGTTATCTAGATAATACGACAGAAAACTGATGAAGACACAGATAGTATTTATGTTTTATAAAGAAGATTTATTTTTATGCTTTAAACGGGTTTCTAGATTTTATAGATATTACTATAAACATAGATCGTTGCATATAACCGGATCTGTTATAAGAATGAGACAATATTGCATGAGTTAATTTTATAGAGTTTCTGCAAATTTTGTTCTTATGAAAGATAACTGATCTAATTAAAGAAATTGATATAGGGTAGGGCAGAGCACAAAGGTGCAATTTGGCTTTCAGTAAATATACTGTCTAAATTAAATTAAATTCCCGACAACATATAACATATATCAAAGAAACAAATATCGAACTATGCTCAGTAAAATTCTCAGTTAACTCATTGTCAAATATTCAAAGATATCTATCCACAGATTTTTAACAAAGTTTTTGCCGTTTTGTTCCTGTCAAATATTCAAAGATATCTGTCACCAAGATATGTTTTTATTTTATTTAATTATTAATATTAAATTACCATCTCCATAGGCATGGTAGCCAGGGGGAAACAGATCCAACATCTTTTTGTTTAATTTTGAAGGGATTTTACTAAATAAAAGCTGTTAGTCTAAGAGCCAGTGAACTATTTGACTAACCTGTTTTCACAAAGCCAGAAATTTTTTTAATGATATTTTATTATCGGCCCATTAAGAAACTACCATTCTGGCAGTCATTCCGCGGTTGCGTCATCATCCCTTCAATTAGTGAAAATGTAAAAAAAACTGTTTTTATAACTTGCTCGCACAAGGCTCAAATTTTGAGGGTGTCTTCTTTTAACTGTTCAGAAAGCATATGTAAAAAGCCAGCCCATTCTGACGGTTGCAAGGGTCTGCCAGACGAGTACATAATAGTCACGACGCGCAAGGGTGTGGGCGCATTGCCATACATAATTGACTAATACCCTTGTATTTGAATAATTAATACGCCATTTTAAAGGTTATTTTGAAAACATCCGTTATACCAAACTTCAACTTTGTATCTCACCTTATGGCCGAGATATCATTGAAAATATGCCAAAGTGGCCCCTTTTTCAAACTCAATTTTTGGCGTAACCATAAAAGATATCGAAAAAAAAATTACGTGATTCTACTCATATTGGCTTAAATCACATAATGTATAGTAATATATGCTAAATAATCCTTTATTATTAGCTAAAAAGGATAAAATAATTTTTCAATTAATGTTTTCGGATAGTGCGTTTTGTTTAATTACTTTATTATTAGCGTTATTTAAAGCTTATTGTTTTCTCTTTTAGTACTGCAAATATGGTTTAAATCAAATTTGTGGAACACATTGAAAAATTGAAGAAACCAGAACCAGTACAACCCGCGCGTAACGCTAAAGTAGCCAGCATAGAATTCGTTCGGTCGGATGTGCGATGCGTTACGCGCGGGTGTACTGGTTCTGGTTTCTTCAATTTTTCAATGTGTTCCACAAATTTGATTTAAACCATATTTGCAGTACTAAAAGAGAAAACAATAAGCTTTTAAATAACGCTAATAATAAAGTAATTAAACAAAACGCACTATCCGAAAACATTAATTGAAAAATTATTTTATCCTTTTTAGCTAATAATAAAGGATTATTTAGCATATATTACTATACATTATGTGATTAAGCCAATATGAGTAGAATCACGTAATTTTTTTTTCGATATCTTTTATGGTTACGCCAAAAATTGAGTTTGAAAAAGGGGCCACTTTGGCATATTTTCAATGATATCTCGGCCATAAGGTGAGATACAAAGTTGAAGTTTGGTATAACGGATGTTTTCAAATAACCTTTAAAATGGCGTATTAATTATTCAAATACAAGGGTATTAGTCAATTATGTATGGCAATGCGCCCACACCCTTGCGCGTCGTGACTATTATGTACTCGTCTGGCAGACCCTTGCAACCGTCAGAATGGGCTGGCTTTTCACATATGCTTTCTGAACAGTTAAAAGAAGACACCCTCAAAATTTGAGCCTTGTGCGAGCAAGTTATAAAAACAGTTTTTTTTACATTTTCACTAATTGAAGGGATGATGACGCAACCGCGGAATGACTGCCAGAATGGTAGTTTCTTAATGGGCCGATAATAAAATATCATTAAAAAAATTTCTGGCTTTGTGAAAACAGGTTAGTCAAATAGTTCACTGGCTCTTAGACTATGTGTGATTAGGTGTTTTACACATAAAATGTAACTTCATCCATATGTTATCAATGAAAAGTCAGTTTCACTTATGATAAAATTATTATTTTATGTTTGTGCGTTTTGTAGGTTAGGTTTTATGCTAGCAAGTACAGAGTTTGGTAATACCAACTCACACGAGTATAGACCCGTAACATAGCATTATCATAACATTTTATTTTATCCGAGTTTCTATTTTAATTATAATATCTTGTTTTGAAATTAGAGCTTCTTGTAAGTTTATAACACTGATATCTACCGATTTATTCGGAAAACTAGGAACTAGACTTTTACAATTCGAGATCACAACCATTGATAGAAATTACAGATAGAAATACTCTTTAGGTGTAATAAGAATTCTAATCTTATTAAACAATTAGTTATAAGCATTATTATTAGACTATCTTATAATAGATAATTTACTAGATCAAGCAAAATTTTTGAAGATCATTGCATATAATCGCATGTGTTAAGCAAAGTCTTTTGAATAAATTTTTGCTCAAATCATAAGAAAGTTTGCTTAAAATTCTGTATTATTATAATATTATTATATTTATGGATATCAATAATTTTTTAACTATTTACTTAATATTCGATAGCAAAGCAACATTTGTCTATTACCGACATTGCTCTCTATAAACACTTGCGAGCATCAAATATCAAAGAATTTTATTAGAGTTTATATTTTTTTATGAATTTCACACATTACATATATATTATTGTTATTATTAAAAAAAACTCATTACTATTGTGGGAACATTCGACGAATTCTAGTCGAGAGCACATGTGCATTAAAAAAACGTTTTCGAGCTCAGTTGTAGAATTCATTACAGATCTGTAAAATGTAACACGTTAATTTAAAAGCTTTTTGTTAATTATTATGTTAAATCTACTACATATGAGAAATAGATTTTTCAGCAGGTATATTTGGCTTCAAAATGAGTCATTTAAATTTGAATTGTATAAATTATTTATAAAATGCTATATAGATTTAAATAATTAAAGGTGTGTAAAACGCCGGATCGTTGTTACTGCCAACTCATATGAAATTTGGCCCGTAACATAGCCATTATCACAACATTTCTATTTTTCCCACAATAGGCATGTTATCCTTTCAAATGTACTACTCAAATATTTTTGAAATTTACATCACTAATTTTTTTTTCAGCCGTCAGTGACATTTGCACATTCGCCGCCCGTTCTTTTGACCGCCAATTTCGAGCAAAACAAGCGATAGAAACATCCTTGTTTACGGCCGAAACCAGACCAAATGCACTAAGGGCTTTATACGAATCTGCGGCAAAAACACCTCCTGCGTTATTGAATTTAGCAGCAGAAAATGAATCGCGAAGACAGGCATTCCCACTTGATAGTTTGCTACTATGCACTCCGGTTTTGGGAGCTAGAAGAAGAAGACAGGCTGGAAAAATTGACTCTGAAATCGAAACCAGATTGGTTAGTAGATCAAAATCTAAAACTTTATAATGATGATAAGGTTATTTCACTTCTATTCTTATAATTCTTTCTATTTTTATTTATATTTTATTATCTATTAGCCTGCTGCAATAGTAGAACTTCGCCGTTGGACCTCATCGGAAGCTCTAGGAGATGTGACAGTTGCTCCTGATTGCGTGAGCCGCCTTCACAGCAGTTTAAATCAAACTCAGACTATGTCTTGGACATATAATGATGCTTCTGGAAGTTCGCCGACTAGAGATGATGTAGACGCAGTTATATCTGACGATGATCAACCTATTGATCATAAATTACCATCCCCCGAAGAGCAATTGCAGGCAGTCGCTTTGAAGTAAGTGGATGGAGACAGATTTATTGTTTTTTAACATCAATAACCAGGACATCCTATGAACTATTTAGTTCCATTCATTCACAATATATTGTGCTAAACTTCAGTGTCTATTATCTCTCCAACGATCTCTTCACCAATTCAGCACAGTTCTCCAAAGATGTAGTAGAGTAAACGCCTTAAGTATTTGGCATCGTCCTTTCCAGCATTCTTCATACTGGTGCCTCAAGAAGTTGAGCGACTATAGACTTAGTATGATCTTCCAGTTGTAGAAAATGTTGAACACCGCTTAACTTTATTATTAAGTAATCATTCAATTTCAATATTAAGTCTAATCATTTTACTCATTAATGAACTCCCACTATAGTACTATGAGTAGTAATTATCTCGATATTTTTGTATTGTTAGTTTTATTTTTGGCATATTAATGAAATTTTGATAACCTTAGGTTCCCAGCCGTTGTTGTCGCTGTCGATGTGACTGGACGACGATTCGATCGCATGTCTCGGTACAGGCGAACCGCAATTGGTACATCATCTACCGCCAGTTCCAGCGCGGCCAACACAGCTGGACCATCGAATGCTGGTGGTAGTACTACCACCGCTTCGGGTGAGGGTGACCTACCATCGGGAACTATTCGAAGACGATCATCAAGACCAAGGAAACCCAGAGGGAAAAGAAGGAACACGATAGCAGGCACAGATCGACAGGAGATACAGCAAGCTGTTAATGGGTAAATGAAACTTTTATTACAGGATTAACATAAATTACTTAGGGCTACTTTGAAAAAACGTATGTTTTTCATATGTATATATGCCAGTAAATAACCTTGCATTGTTAGTCATTATTATAGTTTGAATTTATTATGTTTCGGTTATTCTCTAGATTTTTTATTGGCAAACAACAATTATATACATATACACATCATCATTTTGTATATATTCATGAAACATAAAGTTAAGTGTTTTTAACAGCGTGGTTAATATTGTCGAAATTAACTTAAAAAGCAGAAATGTGAACTCGTGAAATCTCATTGAAAAAATAATATCATTCTACAAAATATTTCCGTTGTCAGTTATTTTGAATTCATTATAACGGGATTACCTAGTATTTTCTATATCTATTCTTTAATCGGTAGAATTACTGAGTTCACGAAGCATCATTTCTCAATAAAAGTTTGCACGCCAAGTATTAATTATTGATGTTTTAATTCATAATATTAACAATAACATAAATATACGTTCGTTAACGAATTTTTTCTTGAACTTTTTTTTGTTCGTGATTTTTCGCGAATATCGCATGATCGATACTAACAAAAATAATTATCGCCACAAACTTTTCTCAAACTGCTGGAGAATTGATTCTAAATTACTTTAGTCTCTGAATAAATATTAAACTATTAATCGAACATTGGCGCACTCAAATTCTAGTTGTCAGCAGTATTATTCTTGTAAATGTTTGATTTGCAAAATTCAAGATTTGATCGAATGAATAATTGTCAGCGAAACGTAACATTAATGATTGGCAAAGAGGTAAAAGAAGTTCTTTAAACATTTTCACAAAGGCCGAAATGTAAATATTTATATTTAATATCATATTCATAAATTTACAAGTAGTTTTGAAGTAGTTATTTTTTTATTGATGCCGTCATTTTCTAATAACACAATACCTTAACCGTTTTATTTTTAGCGAACACAGCAACCCGGATGCGATCGAAATTGCCTCAACCGTCCCTCAGATCACGTCTCCCGATCGTTCCAGCCGAAGTCATTCCGGTGATCCTTTGAAGTCAACAACAAAGCGTTCGCACTTCAGCGCATTGATCAGACAATGGGGTAAATCACGTCTGAAGTTAACGAATTTACGATCATCTGACGCCAAAGTTTCCGAGATTGAAAATGTTAATCTCCAAGAAACACGGGCTGACCATGAACCAAACGAGTTCCAGCATCAACACCAGAGAAAGTATTCATCTTCGTCGGATAAATCTTCTGCGGTGGCGGTGGTGAGATTAAGAGATCCTACAACGCAGCGAAGAAACAGAGATGAACCTCATTCTTCGAGCGGAAATTGGAGCGCTAGTTCCGAAAGCGGGCGAGCTTCTATAGGATCCGAAACCACTACGACCCAGCCTAGGTCCACTCCTACAATTTCTGGTTCCTCTGGAATGACACCAGGCTCAGTTGGAAGTCGCAGAAGGTTTGCTGATACTTCTGCTTCATGTAGCGAAGGAACGCTGACACCTGATTTGGCCTCTCACATCGATGATGAGACAAGTTCGGCCTATTCTTGTGACACGGAAGGATATTACACTTCATTCCACGTTGACAGTGGTTTGAAAACGCTCAGGGAAGAAGATGCAACTATGCCGGTGACTCCTCTTCACTGTTCTAATGCATTGCACACCACTGGAGAAAGCGAATACGAATTATTTGGTAGAGGATCGACTTCGACTACTACAAGTTCAGCAGGAACAGTTTGTACTACTTTGCGAGCTTCCGGTAGCGATAGAAGTTTAATGGTAGGGCCTGCAGTACCAGAGCGCAAAAGCTCGCTGACTAAATTGGACAGAAGCGGGTCAAGCAGTAGCAATATAAGTGGTACTTTAGATCGTTGTGGTACAATAAAACGAAATGGTATTCTACTCAAAAAAGAACCCAGTTTACCACTCTTGGCACTGGAGAAAAACAAAGGCGCGGAAAGTCCCGATAGTGGACACAATACATCTTCTTCACCAATCGAATCAGCGGCTAGTCCCAATGGATGTTCTGAATTTTCTTCAGAATTTTCGGAAAGCTCAGACGTAGAGGGTGCTGATAGAGCAGAGCGGATAAGGGCGAAAACAGCAATTAATTCAAGTCGCATTCCATCTATGTGCGCTATAACTCCACCTCATAGCGACGACGAAGGAGAACAAAGTGATAATTCTTCATCGAAACGAGAAACATCATCAAAGCATGTCGTTATGAATACAATTCCTGGAACTTCGAAAATTCAGCTGATTAACGTTGATCGCGAAACGGGCTACGCGACTGTCGAAACCGTTCAAACGCCTACGCGAACTTCACATGAGAGCGTGCGAACCACCACTTTATCAGCTCTGAAAAAATCGCCCCTATGGGGTAAGATTCGAGGAGTGTTGCCACATTTGAAAAAATCCCCCGTGGCAACTAAGTTGGACATGACTGATGGAGGCGAATACGTTACAATTGCAGATGTGCGGAATAATAACGAGAAAGCAACAAAACCAATCGAGCAGAACTCAAGTTTTTCCACATCAGAATACGTCAGTTTAGATGAATTGCCGCGAATTTTGCCTTCAAATAGCAAATCGATTGATAGCGCGTCCAGCGCATCGTCTCTAGAGCGCAGACGCGTGGCGGGACAGGGCGCTCGTGTCACCGTCGATTGCGAAGGACGCGTCGTGTACTCGAGTAATAGTCTTAAGCGCAACAAGCAGCATAGCACATTCGAACCAGGACCGTGTGTGAAGACGGCTAAAGAATCACCAGGCACCGGTAAGCTCGTGGTCCGAGCGGGAGAACCAGCGGAACGAGTTCATCCTATCATCGCTCCTACGACGAGGATTCCATCTGCAAATCAAACTGGAGCGTACGTCAACATTCAGGATTGTGATCCTACTAGAACGATAGGTAAGCGTAAAATAAATCGCACAGCGAGTTATCTGAATGCGAATCGGCGGCTAGCGCCAATTACTGACAGGGCAATCGATCGCTTTGCGAATGAAATCGCCGCAGAATTGTGGCGGGAGCGTATCAATTACCCAGCAAGCGTTTCGCCAAAGTCTTACGGCAAGTATCAACTGCCTAAGGTGAATCGTACTCCTGTAATTTTAAATCCGCCCGAGCCTCTAACGCGTCCTCCAGAAAATTTATTTCCGTGCGGAAAGGTAACGTTACCCGCAGATAGGTTAGAACACCGCGCGCGAATTCTCAGTAGCACAAATCTAGACCTGGATACTGAAATTTGGTAGTATCTGCCATGATGGACTTTAATTTATTTATTTTTACTAAAATATCATTTATATATTCATTTACTATCGCAATGCCCGTAGAATCGTTTATAAGAATTAATAGTATTTATTAAAAGACATCGAGAACAAATAATTTTATTGCTTTGAAACTATCGTACATTTATTAAGTTTGCAAGCTACAATGACTATAATTTATAATACAAAATCTATGGATTGAACAAATTGACAACGCCAGGTTTAAAGAGCAATAAATACATTATCTGCCAGTTTTATTAGAATTTATTTTAAATAATGCAAACGTTATCCCTCTTATAACATTAATACATTCATTTTAATTTACTTTGCATGTAAAAATTTAAATTACTATTAAATTAAGGCCAAGTCTCAACGCCATATTAATTTTTAAAAATCATATAGAAGATATTTTACTGAAAACTGAAACCACCTCTAATTCCAAGTAAATATAATGTAAATATTTTTTTTAATATAAAAAATATAATTCGTTTAATATTTGAATGAAATGTTTGATTAATATTGTATATGTTGCATGCTTTAGATGTTAAATGCACCGATAATTCACAAAGAATTTGCCTTGCAGGTTTTACACAATGCACATTGTATTATATTTGTAAATATTTTATGTATTTATTATTTTATATGAAACCAATATGTACAAATAGGCAACATGACTATAAAAAAGAAAAGATAGTCATTAAAAATGATTTAATTAGTTAATATGATTTTTTTTACTTTTGCGTTATAGAAAATAAAATAGTTTACGCAAATGTTTTTATTTATAAAATTTCTAGATCTTATTAATTTTTTTAGTTTTTTCAGTTCCTAAAAGTTAGAATTTTTGTTTGTATAGTTTTAAATTTTTGATTTCTGATTATTCGATTTAAATTTATTATTCCTACCTTGATGTTTTATATTTAAACTTTTATTTTATAACAATATGATTATCATTTTGTACATTTTTTTTTTTTCAAATGAGCAAATAATAGAACAAACATTTATGGATAAATCTTTAATTTCAATCGTAAAAGTAATCGTGTGTTATAAAATATATTTCTACTCTTCTGTTCATTTATTTAAAATACTGGTTTAATTTTATAAGCGCTTATTTCAGAGTTATAATTTTTTGTGAAATAGTAAATCAATGCTCATCAGTTGTTTGTTGGATGGTACATGCATGTTTTTGTTTTTGGAATAAATAATTTATTTTAATTGATCAATTTCCATTGTAGAATCAAGTAATGTGTGTGTTAATGGTTATTTTTGATTAATATTTGTGCAACAATAATAGCAACTACTTGAAACTACATAAGAAATGAATTGAGCAGAATCATTAATAGTTTTATTTAACATTTAAGAAAATATAGCTATGATATTAAATTGATTCTAAATATAAAGCTGTTAATTAGTTTTGAGTAAGAAATTTTAGCATAGCTATATTTCAAGGCAAGTTTAATTAATAAGGTACTGAATGTTTTGGTTTCACTTTTTTAAGCACTTTTTAGGTATAGCTGATTTTGTGAATGTTTCAATATATATTTTGCACTATAAAACTCACTCATCAAAAGCTTCTGCGCACTTCTAATTAACATTTCATTGTGATTCATAATTACAAATGTTTATCATTTTTTGCAAAAATCATTTATATGTTGTGGTTATTGTATTAACAAGAAAGTAACACAGCAGAACTAACATACGAGATTTAATCGTAATATAATCTTTTTTTAAATTAATATGTTGCCGTCCACATTCATTAAGTATTACTTTTTGTCACATATAAGTTATTTCGAATGAATGGATAAAATGATTAATAAACTTGGATAATTTCACAAATTTTATTTGATGAATTGTACGTAAGTAATATATATTTTTCAATCTTTCATATATTGATAAAAAAGAATACATGACTTATTATTATTATAGTAATTTGTGAAATTTTGTAGTGCATGTATATAATATTGAACCATACTGCCTGACCTGTATAGTACAGATTTTTTGTTTATTTGTTATGTTTTCTTCGTTCTTTTCATTTGTAATATAATTGTTGAGAAATTAACAAATGTGCTTTATTTTATGCATGATACTTTATTTTAGCATCCCATTGTGATTGTTTGCTTTGCAATAAGGTAACTCAAATAATTATGTGAATCATTATTCCATTTTAATTCCAATATCATTTGAAACTTGTTTCTGATATTATTTTTTTTTTTTATTAAGGGGGTATTCTGGTCCAGAATTTTAAAAAAAAATCAATTTTGTTTTTTTTCGGTATTTTCAAAGTTTACCTGTTCAGGAATATATGTACAAGAGGATTTTTCAAAATTTAATTTATTTTCTTTATTAAAACCCACTTCATTGCCAATAAAAATTAGACTATTAAAATTTTTTTTATATATTTACAAAATAATAATAACTTGTACAAAAAATATTGTTTGCCTATTTTTTTACTGCTGTTCAAAATTGCATAAATTTTATGCCTTTAGACCAGAATACCTCCTTAATTGAAATTATAATACAGGGATTATGAACGAAAACATTTAAAAAATGTCTTATCAATAGTATGAATTACAAGTCATTGGAATTAGTAGAATTGTGGAGTGTATAAATGTTTTAAAAATATTGCTATAGAAATATTTCCCTTCATATTACATTAATTTTGTTATTCATAATGCTTATTCACTTGTGTTAATATTTTCAGAATCAGCACTTTCGTCTAATGCAAAGAATGCCATTAAAGATAGTTTGACAACAGCGAATCAATCTCATTTCCAAAGGAAAAATCCAGCATATTGGACCCTTCAAATGAAAAAATCATCTAAGGAATTTGTGCCTGTACCTATGAGATGTCTGACCCCAGAATTGCAACTAAAAGAAGATAATAATCAAATGAGAAGTTCAGAAAGTTTTAATATGAAAAATGATATAACTGATAAGTTTTTCCCAATTGTAGCAGGAAACAGTAAACATGATAATCTAATTTGTAGACCAGATGTAAAAATTTCACCTATAGATCCTAGAAATATTGGAACTTTTCAATCATCAACTCCTTCGAGATCAGAAGCAGATACTCAAATCATATCCGCAAACAAAAAATCAACAATGACAAATGAAGAGTTATATGCAGTAATACATAAAAGTAAAAAGAAATTGAACCTTAAAGGAGATGTTAGTTCCCCCTCACGCGATTTAGAATCCAGATCTAGAAACAGCTGGGCTGTTAATGATAAAGCAAAAGGATCTATAAGTGACCTTAAATCGGGTTCTTTAATGAATCAACCTGGTCAACGACAAAGTTGGGCTTGCATTGATAGGTTAGGACCAACGCCAAAAACTTCAAGATTAGATTTCAAAAAATACTTCTTCAGCACAGCTCAAAATCAGTACCTGTTTCACAAACAAAAAAATATCTGCAGTGGAGCAACTGAAATTGGATAGAGAGAAGAAAGAAGCATCAGGTGTTTCTAGTCCTATTAATATTTTAGATTTAAGCTCATCTCCAAAATCCTTTGGTGGACGTAAAATGATTAATAAACAAAGTTTCAATACGTTTTCTTCAGCAACAAATAAAGATTCTTTACAAAGAAATACATCAAAAATGACTTCCCCAAAAAGTACTTGGCGTTTTTCTCACCCTCGTTCTGATATTTTGTCATCTCCTATTCAGGAAGTTTGTGCGGAAGAAGATAACCCATGTCTATCAAGTGAATTGGCCAAAGTATCATTAAAACCTATCCCATTGCCAAGCTCTATACCTGCAATCAGGCCTGGGCCGATATTGGCTTATCCTAGTCTCTGCCCTATCAAAGAATCTGACTCATCGCCAAGTAAGCAAAGTAATTCCATAGATAAAGTTTCTGGTTCAAAATTAAAAGAAAACTTATTTTTAAAAATAGAAGAAAACAATTTCATGAAGTCTGAGTTAATAAAAAATCCTAGGATGACTTCAAATATTTCAAGGAGCCAATTATTGCAATCACAAAGAGCCCAATTTTTAGCCTCTAATAATACAAGCCAATTACAAATAACCGCACAATTTAAAAACGGTCACTATACAGGAATCACAACAGGGGGACAAAGCATCAGAAAGAGTGAAATACCTAAACCGCCATCTCCAACTTTAGAAACTGCTCTTTGAGACACATTTTTGTTTGTGTATAGAACTAAGTTATAGAATGTCTAGTTATTATACAAATTGTAACAGGCTAACTACTATGTAAATTGTATATTTTATTTATAATGTGAAACAATGGTTAATTATTATATTCAACTATTAGACATGAAAACTTTTGTAATTTTATATCAATATCAATTTGTAATATTTATGCTCGATTCATCAAATAATTGCCATTAATCAAAAGGCCTTGAAATAAAAAGTAATATATTTATAAATGTACTTAATATATTTAATATATGTATGTAAATAAGCATTATACATTACAATATCATTTCATTAAATTATATTAAATGGTCTTTTCCTTAAATCCTATTTGATAACACTAGTTCCATTTTGACTCTTAGCTTTTAGTCTGAGATCCGTTCATCATAGGCTGACGCATCGGAATAGGTCCCATGGGTCCTATCATCGGTGGTCCAATTGGGGGCATACCCATAGGTGGCCTCATTCCCATCATCGGTGGCATACCCATCATCATAGGTGGCATGGGTCCTGGGCCATGTGGGGGCATACCAGGTGGGATCATTCCAGGTCTTGGGGGTCCCATATTAGGTGGTGGAATGGCTACACCACCTGGTTTAGCAGCGAATGGATTTTGGGCTATTTTGCCCGCTTTATACGCGGCTGTAGTAGCATCAATTAAATGCTGTGCTTGTTCTTCCATCCATTTTTGATAATAAAATTTCACATTATCTTTATGCTTTCTGCCGGAGCAATGGTTTTTCTAACACTCGGAGAGTCATGCGTTAGATATGTATCGCAGTAGTCGCAGTAATATTTAGGCATTTTGGAAAAAACTTTTTTTATACGTCCAAATAACTTATAACAAAATAAAAGTAAGCTAACTTGAACCGAAGTATTAGTAAAGTAATTAAGTAAGCTAACTTGAACGAAGTATATTCCACTTGTACTGCGAATTGTTTGTGTATATTTTCACCGAACTGACATTTCACAATTAGGTTAGCGAAACCCACAGACATACGCTTTGATGAATACTAGATACTAGCGTTTAGTTTTGCGCATGAGGCGACTGGCGGCGCTGCGTGTCACATAAAAACTAAATCTTAACGATCGTGATTGTTTTTTTATCACCTGTTAATTACCTGTAAAAATTATTTATTACCTTTATTACCTGTATTATTCATTAGAATATTATCGTTTTATAATAAAAACAACTATGTTGATTCTGTTTATTAAATTTTTCATGTTGGCGACATGGTTACTGTCGATGTCATAAAACCATAGATAAAAGAAGAGTAACATAGGTAAAAGCCAAAGATAATGTTTAACTCATGTTTAACTGTCAAGTTGAGGTGAGGTGATGTGGGTTGCAGATCTCTTCTTTATCTATGCTCCGAACCAATGTCTGTTTCGCGATTTTAGTTAGAGCTGGTTAGAGTCCCTGCTGCCTGTCGCACTTGTTATCGTTTTGATCGAAAATAAGCGAACGATCGATTTGACAGACGTAAATCAAACATTATCGATAAAGCTGATTTCTTTTATATG